TAGATTGTTGTTGTTGTTAATAAAAGTAAATTTTGTATGCATCTTAACTCAAGCTTAGTCTGTATAAATAATAAACTAAAGAAAAACAAGAAATGAACATGAACTATTATTAGTAACTGCACTTGCAAAACAATAGTAATTTTATGATTAAATGATCTATATTTTAATACTCCACTGCTCTCAAATGTTAGTCTGGAGCCCTGTCTTGGGTTGATTTGTTTGCTTTTTGTTTGTTTTTTAAATATTTGTACATATTGGTTGTCTCTTTAATGATTTATATTTTTGTAAATATACTTTATAGTTATATGGATTCTTTTCACTTTGTATAATAAATCACTTTCGTTGGCAGTTCGTGTCCCTGCATTGTCTCTTGCTGCCTCCATCATTTTACAGATTTGCCACAATCTCAATGTTAATCCTTTTACCCCTAGACCATCTTAAAAGGGTCGTAACAAAAGTAAAGTACAGATACTCAAAAAGTGTACTTAAGTACAGTAATCAAGTAAATGTACTTCATTACTGTCCACCTCTGGTTGTCAGTATACTTACAGAAAAACATTAAAGAAAAACATTCTATTATTCTATTTCCTGCATTGTTATTTTTCTGCCTGTTCTGCATAGTTGAGGTGCTCTGGGAAGGCAATAACAACAAAAATAAAATAATTTGTACCTTTTGACTAACACTTAAACTCTAATGTGAATTTACAGTACCATTCAAAAGTTTAGGGGCTGTAAGATGTCTAATGTTTCTGAAAAGAAGTCTCTTATGCTCATCATTTATTCGATCAAAAATACTGTATTGTTGTGAAATATTCTTACAATTTAAATTAGCTTTTTTCTATGTGAATATATTGTAAAATGTAATATATTTCTGTGATCAAAGTTGAATTTTCAGCATCATTACTCCAGTCTTCAGTGTCACATGATCTTCAGAAATCATTCTAATATGCTGATTTGCTGCTCAAGAAACATTTCTGATTATTATCAGTGTTGAAAACAGTTGTGCTGCACAATATTTTTGTGCAAGCCATGATACATTTTATTTTTCAGGATTCTTTGAGAAACAGAAAGTTCAAAAGGACAGCATTTATTTGAAATAGAAATCTTTTGCAACATTATAAATGTCTTTACTGTCACTTTTGATCAATTTAATGCGTCCTTGCTGAACAAAACAATTAATGTTTGAACAGTAATGTGTTTTTTAAGGCCCTTTACCATGTGACTCAATATTGCCCAATACACTGCATCTCTAATTACGCAATTTGGTGCAGATGCTGATATTTATATGGCCAAAAAGTAAAATGAAATTCTGAGGCTTGTAAAGTAAATCAATGAGATCTTTATATGAGTACAGCAGATACTTGCATAAAATGATATAAATATCAGTCGTCACTCTATATCTCCAATAATATGTTTTAGTAAGATGAGATTGAAATGATTCAAACATATAATGCAATGCAATGCTGATTGAGAGAAGATGTGAGATGTTCTGGAGGCTTGTGAAGATCACTCCTCCGCTGAGGAACAGTGAAAGTAAAGCTTCTGGAAACAAACGCTCCTCAAAAGATCCTGAGGATCAGATTTGAGACGCACTGATTTTTCTAAAAAGTGATTGATGGAGAATCAAGTAAAGCAGAGCTGCTTCAGTCCAGTGAGTGTTCATCTGGAAATATTACTAGTTATTCTTACACTCTAAAAAATGCTGGGTTGTTTCAACCCAACTTTGGGTCAAATATGGACTAACCCAACTTTTGGGTTAAAATTTTAATGTAAAAATGTAACCCAATGGTTGGGTTAGTCAATATTTGACCCAAAGTTGGGTTGAAACAACCCAGCATTTTTTAGTGTGCGTTTACTTGATAAAATTCAGCAAAGATTTGACAGCAGAAAGACACGTGAAGCACCAGCTGAAGCGGGACGCTTGTACAATTACACTAAAAGAGCTTTTACTTAATAAAAAAGCATAATCTATCAATCAGAGGACAGAAGGCAGAGTAGACTGAGTGAAACAGGTTTAACAGCAATCATGTTGATCATGCGAAATGTGGGCTTTATAGTCCCTCATTCCACTAAATAAGCTGATTTTAAGTTGAAACAGTCTCATAATAATTTGACACCAATTAATCAATGAACGTTAAAGAACAAATCGTACCATCAAACCTTTTATGTCCGGTCATAAACGCGTCCCTCAGCTCTTCGCTCGTGTCGTCCATGAGCTTCTCAAAGTCCCGTGAGCTTCTCTGGCTGAAGTTCTCCTCCATTTCTGCGTTACAGCACGTTCTCTGAGGAGCGCAAACCCGCAGATCGTCTCCTACAGACCAGAGAGAGACACAGCAATGCAATTTTACACTGATGATAATCAGAAATGTTTCTTGAGCAGCAAATCAGCATATTAGAATGATTTCTGAAGGATCATGTGACACTGAAGAGTGCAGTAATGATGCTGAAAATTCAGCTTTGATCACAGAAATAAATTACAGTTTAACATATATTCACATAGAAAACAGCTATTTTAAACTGTAATAATATTTCACAATTTTTACTGTATTTTTGATCAAATAAATGCAGCCTTGGTGAGCAGAAGAGATGCATGAGATGGAAACAGACGGGGGCGTTCAAGTCCTTCACATCGAAATGACGACCCGTCAAAGTGAGTCCACAATCAAGCTGATTGTCAGTCACTCCACAGAATCTCTCATTATGATGGCTGATGGGCGACTCTCTTTGAGTCTAATAAAAGAAAGCGTTTACATTCACTTCAGTCCTCTCTCTCGTTTTGTTGTGGCTGTTCATGTAGGCAGCAGAGCTCACAGATTGTCTCAGCAACCGGTCATTTACATATTTTTGTTTGGTTTTGGAGTTGCATATTTCATGCGAGCTCAATTTGGGTTCAAAAGTTTCCAAGTCATTATTATATTTTAATAAAAAAAATAAATATAAATGCATACTGTATATAAATTACCAGGCGCAAACCTTATTTTATTTTTGATTTAAATAAAATAAAACAAATTAAAAATTAAAAAATTACATAAAAAATCTAAAATAAAAAATACAATTATATAAAATTAAAATAAAAGCTAAAATACAAAAAAACTAAACTAAACTTAAACAAAACAAAACAAAATATAATAAATATAATATATAATAAAAATTAAATTAAATTAAATATAATAAAATATAAAATATAATAAAAAATAATAAAAATAAAAATAAAATAATATATAATAAAAATAAATTAATATATAATTAAAATAAAATAATATTTAAATAAAATAAAACTAAATTAAATTAAATTAAATTAAATAATATATAATAAAATAAAATAAAATAAAATAATATATAATAAAAATAAAAATAAAATAAAATAAAATTTATTTTTGGGTGAACTAGGTCTTTAACTAAAGCGAACCTGCTATTTCCAGGTAAAAAACTTTTCCATTTGCACACAGAAAAGGCTATCACGCTCAATCCTCTTACTAAAACTAAATCGCATTATCTCATTTTTGACCTTCGTTTCCATTTCTGGCCAACTGTTTCTGAGGAAAAGGGGCCGTTTTCAAACTCCTTGTCTATTTAAGGTTCAAAATAATAATAAAAAATGTGCAAAACGGCATTAAAACCAGCACAAATCAAACCACCTCAGGCTGTTTATTTTGAATCTGCATGAAGATATGACACGGTGTACATTTGTGTGTTCATTTTCTGTTGGCTCTGTAATAAAATCAACATGAAAAGCATAGGAAAGCGTATTAATAAGGTCAACAGGGTCAATGTCGACTTTAAAATAATGCCAGCCAGTGACCCTGTTGATGAATGACTCTCCTGACAGTGATTTGTTGGACTGCGCGCATCCAGACGAAAACCTCTCGCCCATCAACAGCAATTCTATCTCTGATCATGAAGTCAAGGAGGTCACAAAATGTCAACAGCGTTATTTCAGTCTTTTGGTTGACCTCTGAGGCGCGGGAGAAATTACAGGACTGAGAACAGCACCAGACACACACATTCACCTACACCAAACATCAGTTTAGTTAAACAAAATCCCTTCATGCATCTGAGAAAACACACCCACACTGGAACACAAGCAGCGGCTGTAGGCCTGTTTGCACACACTGGGCTTTCAGCGTGTCTGCAAGAGTCTGGCATGCGACGAGGCCTCGTAAGATTGATTTAAATATATGGGAATTGCTGTTGAGAACCTCAGGAGCAGAGGACACATTTAGCACTGTTGACAAGCCAGCAGATGCTGGATGCTGTAAGTGTGATGCCTGTTTCTGTGCACCACGAGGCTTTTCGACTGAGATGTTGACATGATCTTCTCAAAACGCACAGGATAGAGAGAGCAACCGAAGAGGTTATGGGGTTCGATTTGGAAGTCCTCTTAGGTTTCTCTTCTTCTTATCAGCAAATAAAATAAAATAAAATAAAATAAAATAAAATAAAATAAAAAGTGTAATTGTACAAGCGTCCCGCTTCAGCTGGTGCTTCACGTGTCTTTCTGCTGTCAAATCTTTGCTGAATTTTATCAAGTAAACGCACTCTAAAAAATGCTGGGTTGTTTCAACCCAACTTTGGGTCAAATATGGACTAACCCAACTTTTGGGTTAAAATTTTAATGTAAAAATGTAACCCAATGGTTGGGTTAGTCAATATTTGACCCAAAGTTGGGTTGAAACAACCCAGCATTTTTTAGTGTGCGTTTACTTGATAAAATTCAGCAAAGATTTGACAGCAGAAAGACACGTGAAGCACCAGCTGAAGCGGGACGCTTGTACAATTACACTAAAAGAGCTTTTACTTAATAAAAAAGCATAATCTATCAATCAGAGGACAGAAGGCAGAGTAGACTGAGTGAAACAGGTTTAACAGCAATCATGTTGATCATGCGAAATGTGGGCTTTATAGTCCCTCATTCCACTAAATAAGCTGATTTTAAGTTGAAACAGTCTCATAATAATTTGACACCAATTAATCAATGAACGTTAAAGAACAAATCGTACCATCAAACCTTTTATGTCCGGTCATAAACGCGTCCCTCAGCTCTTCGCTCGTGTCGTCCATGAGCTTCTCAAAGTCCCGTGAGCTTCTCTGGCTGAAGTTCTCCTCCATTTCTGCGTTACAGCACGTTCTCTGAGGAGCGCAAACCCGCAGATCGTCTCCTACAGACCAGAGAGAGACACAGCAATGCAATTTTACACTGATGATAATCAGAAATGTTTCTTGAGCAGCAAATCAGCATATTAGAATGATTTCTGAAGGATCATGTGACACTGAAGAGTGCAGTAATGATGCTGAAAATTCAGCTTTGATCACAGAAATAAATTACAGTTTAACATATATTCACATAGAAAACAGCTATTTTAAACTGTAATAATATTTCACAATTTTTACTGTATTTTTGATCAAATAAATGCAGCCTTGGTGAGCAGAAGAGATGCATGAGATGGAAACAGACGGGGGCGTTCAAGTCCTTCACATCGAAATGACGACCCGTCAAAGTGAGTCCACAATCAAGCTGATTGTCAGTCACTCCACAGAATCTCTCATTATGATGGCTGATGGGCGACTCTCTTTGAGTCTAATAAAAGAAAGCGTTTACATTCACTTCAGTCCTCTCTCTCGTTTTGTTGTGGCTGTTCATGTAGGCAGCAGAGCTCACAGATTGTCTCAGCAACCGGTCATTTACATATTTTTGTTTGGTTTTGGAGTTGCATATTTCATGCGAGCTCAATTTGGGTTCAAAAGTTTCCAAGTCATTATTATATTTTAATAAAAAAAATAAATATAAATGCATACTGTATATAAATTACCAGGCGCAAACCTTATTTTATTTTTGATTTAAATAAAATAAAACAAATTAAAAATTAAAAAATTACATAAAAAATCTAAAATAAAAAATACAATTATATAAAATTAAAATAAAAGCTAAAATACAAAAAAACTAAACTAAACTTAAACAAAACAAAACAAAATATAATAAATATAATATATAATAAAAATTAAATTAAATTAAATATAATAAAATATAAAATATAATAAAAAATAATAAAAATAAAAATAAAATAATATATAATAAAAATAAATTAATATATAATTAAAATAAAATAATATTTAAATAAAATAAAACTAAATTAAATTAAATTAAATTAAATAATATATAATAAAATAAAATAAAATAAAATAATATATAATAAAAATAAATTAATATATAATTAAAATAAAATAATATTTAAATAAAATAAAACTAAATTAAATTAAATTAAATTAAATAATATATAATAAAATAAAATAAAATAAAATAATATATAATAAAAATAAAAATAAAATAAAATAAAATTTATTTTTGGGTGAACTAGGTCTTTAACTAAAGCGAACCTGCTATTTCCAGGTAAAAAACTTTTCCATTTGCACACAGAAAAGGCTATCACGCTCAATCCTCTTACTAAAACTAAATCGCATTATCTCATTTTTGACCTTCGTTTCCATTTCTGGCCAACTGTTTCTGAGGAAAAGGGGCCGTTTTCAAACTCCTTGTCTATTTAAGGTTCAAAATAATAATAAAAAATGTGCAAAACGGCATTAAAACCAGCACAAATCAAACCACCTCAGGCTGTTTATTTTGAATCTGCATGAAGATATGACACGGTGTACATTTGTGTGTTCATTTTCTGTTGGCTCTGTAATAAAATCAACATGAAAAGCATAGGAAAGCGTATTAATAAGGTCAACAGGGTCAATGTCGACTTTAAAATAATGCCAGCCAGTGACCCTGTTGATGAATGACTCTCCTGACAGTGATTTGTTGGACTGCGCGCATCCAGACGAAAACCTCTCGCCCATCAACAGCAATTCTATCTCTGATCATGAAGTCAAGGAGGTCACAAAATGTCAACAGCGTTATTTCAGTCTTTTGGTTGACCTCTGAGGCCTGTGAGAAATTACAGGACTGAGAACAGCACCAGACACACACATTCACCTACACCAAACATCAGTTTAGTTAAACAAAATCCCTTCATGCATCTGAGAAAACACACCCACACTGGAACACAAGCAGCGGCTGTAGGCCTGTTTGCACACACTGGGCTTTCAGCGTGTCTGCAAGAGTCTGGCATGCGACGAGGCCTCGTAAGATTGATTTAAATATATGGGAATTGCTGTTGAGAACCTCAGGAGCAGAGGACACATTTAGCACTGTTGACAAGCCAGCAGATGCTGGATGCTGTAAGTGTGATGCCTGTTTCTGTGCACCACGAGGCTTTTCGACTGAGATGTTGACATGATCTTCTCAAAACGCACAGGATAGAGAGAGCAACCGAAGAGGTTATGGGGTCCGATTTGGAAGTCCTCTTAGGTTTCTCTTCTTCTTATCAGCAAATAAAATAAAATAAAATAAAATTCTTTTTTGGATGAACAATTCCTTTAACTAAAGTGAACTTGTTTCTGTGCACCACAATGTTTATTTTAGGATCTCAAAACACTTATTTTTTTCAACTATTAGATTCCTTGCCTTCTTATCAGCAATAAAACAATAAATGAATTAAATGAAAATAAATACAAAAATAAAATAAAACATAAAATAAAATTATCAAATGAAAAATAAAATAAAATAAAATAAAAAGATATGTCATTTTTGGATGAACTATTCCTTTAACTTCTTCACCTTCTTATCGGCATTTAAAAAAATTAAAATTAAATGAAAATAAAATAAAACATAAAATGAAATAATCAAATAAACAATAACATAAAAATAAAAGACAATTAATTTTATACATAAAAGACAGATCATTTTTGGATGCACTATTTCTTTAAATAAAATGAACCTGTTTCTGTGCATCATAAGGTTTTTAGGCTGAAATGTTGATGGGATATTTTAGATTTCTCGCCTTCTTATCAGCAAATTAAATTTAATTAATTTATTAATACACATAAAATAAAATTGAAATAAAATAAAAAAGAATAATATTAGCCTGAGATGTTGACAGGATCTTCTCAAAAAGCACAGGATTGAGAGCAACCGAAGAGGTTACGGGGTTCAGTTTGGAGGTCCAGTGCTGGAACTAACTCTTAGATTCCTCACCTTCTTATCAGCAAAGGTGAACTGCAAAATATGCAGTTTATGCATATGCAAAAAAAAAAAATGCAAAACTCGTTACATGCAAATTTTCCTAAATAGTCTACTGTTGAAATATTATGAAGACCAAAAGAGCTCTGCGTGCACTTTTTTGGTTTTCTCAACATTTTTTGGTCAATGACTCATTTTAGGGTCCAGAATTCTTGCAACCTCACTCATAACTAAAATAAAGGTAAACCAAGGGCATAGGTTTGGTTTAAAAGTTGGTAGGAACCTACTGCAACCTTGAGATCAGTATTTTTAAAACAAACCAGTAATTAAAGCCATGACTCACAAGACCTTGACATAGGCTATTCAAATGTTGGTGTTAAGAATCTGCCACTGCATGAAAGGAAGTCTGGTAATATGCAAAATAACATAGTTCCCTAAAGTCTCATTCATTCAAACAAGATCACTGAAGCTGAACTCTGTTTCAAGCAAATCTTACAACAGTTTCAGGACATGTCTGCAACATCTGTGACTGAAATCTCCCCATGTATAACTATCAAATGACTCAAACCTAGAAGAATATGAACCATTAGCAAGCTACGGAACATTTCCGTCATTACTACCCAGGTAGTCAATGTTTAACGGGTAGTTCATGCCAATAAGTTGTCAGTCCGGGGCAAGTTGTCACAATAGGCCTTGCCATTAAACAGTCATTACATTACATTTAATCATTTAGCAGATGCTTTTATCTAAAGTGACTTACAAATGAGGACAATGGAAGCAATTAACACCAACAAAAGAGCAATGATGTGCAAGTGCTATAACAAGTCTCAGTTATCTTAATGCAGTACACATAGCAAGTTTTTTTTTATTATATAATAAATAAAAAGAAAACCGATAGAACAGAAAAAGAATAGAGCAAGCTAGTGTTAGAGGCCTTTTTTTGCTTTTGTTCATTGTGTAATAAATAAAAAGAAAACAAATAGAAATACAAAAGGATTAGAAAAGCTACTGTTAGTTTTTTTATTTGTTTGTTTGTTTTAAAAATCAAACCATATGATCTTTATAAACAGTCGATTGTATTCAATTAAACAATTAGACAATTATGTATCAAGATAACTTGTTAAACAGCTGAAATTGCAATGCTTTTCAAAGCAAACAATTACATTATAAATGTGACCCTGGAGCACAAAACCAGTCATAAGGGTCAATTTTTGGAAATTGAGATTTATGCTTCATCATGCAAAGCTTGGAAGCAATTAACACCAACAAAAGAGCAATGATGTGCAAGTGCTATAACAAGTCTCAGTTATCTTAATGCAGTACACATAGCAAGTTTTTTTTTATTATATAATAAATAAAAAGAAAACCGATAGAACAGAAAAAGAATAGAGCAAGCTAGTGTTAGAGGCCTTTTTTTGCTTTTGTTCATTGTGTAATAAATAAAAAGAAAACAAATAGAAATACAAAAGGATTAGAAAAGCTACTGTTAGTTTTTTTATTTGTTTGTTTGTTTTAAAAATCAAACCATATGATCTTTATAAACAGTCGATTGTATTCAATTAAACAATTAGATAATTATGTATCAAGATAACTTGTTAAACAGCTGAAATTGCAATGCTTTTGTCATAAGGGTCAATTTTTGGAAATTGAGATGTATGCTTCATCATGCAAAGCTGAATAAATAATCTTTCCATTGATGTATGGTTTGTTAGGATAGGACAATATTTGAAAATCTGGAATCTGAGGGTGCAAAAAAATCTAAATATTGAGAAAATCGTCTTTAAAGTTGTGCAAATTAAGTTCTTAGCAATGCATTTTAATAATAAAAAAATAAGTGTTAATATATTTACAGTAGGAAATGCACAAAATATCTTCATGGAACATGATCTTTACTTAATATCCTAATGATTATTGGCATAAAAGAAAAATCGATAATTTTGACCCACACAATGTATTATTCTGTTTTTGAACTAGACATATGAAACTAGCAAACACAACCAATGCAAAACAAGCACGGACTTTTTGACTTAAAACAAAACTGACATACTACAGACCGTGTGACAACTTGCCCCGGTCTCCCATATTAAGCGGCGTTTAAGCAGAAGACAGTGTTGTAATTCAATCGATACCTGCCGTTTCCTCGGTGGGAACATTTGCAAGACTGTAACCCAGGTCGGTAAACGCGTCTTTCACCTGGCTGCAGTTCAGCGCGTGAGGATCCGCTGCGACCGGGGCCAAAAGCGCGCACAGAACGGCAAACACAGCCGACATCGCGAGCTCCGCTGAGATCTGTTGAGTTATCCTCGTCCTGGAGTTATCTCTGAGAAAGCACGCGCCGATTCCTCTCTATTTGGGAGTCAAAACGCCTTGAGGTTTCCCATCGCGCGCTCTGACTGGAGTTCCTCGAGAGTTGAGATGCGAGTGAACCTGCTGCTGTCAGAATCAGATCCTCCACAGCGCTGGAACTTCACAGTTCTTCTCTCTCTACTTTCTTCTCTTTGACTGGAGGAAAGCGTGCGCGATATGTCATCAAAACGTTCTAAATGCGGTACAGCGCATAACTGGTTATCAGTCGCGATTTTCACGGCTATGGAATATTTGGAAAAATTTAAAAATTAGATTTACGAATTATCAGAATCAGAAGAATGAGTTTTATTGCCAGGTATGTTTACACATACGAGGAATTTGTTTTCATGACAGAAGCTCCACAGTGTAACAGAATGACAGTGACAGAAACAAAAACACAGATAATAAAAAATAGAAAAATAGAACAAGTAACTAAGGAATAAAAATATACAAATCGACAATTGTATGTACAGGTATATAACAATAGACAGTTGTATGTACAGGTATATTATGTGCAAATTGAAATGTAGACTGAGTATGAGTGTTAGATAAATAAGTGTATGAGTGAATAAATAGTGTGTGTTCCACAGTTATTGTCAAGTGTTCATGAGATGGATGGTCTGAGGGAAGAAACTGTTCCTGTGTCTGGTCGTTCTGGTGCTCAGAGCTCT